TTGCTTGCAGGTACAGGTGATCTTGACGAATCCAGTCTTTGAGTTTTAACTCTCCCAAGAGACATAAAAAACCTCGAAACGAAAGTGACCTGACGCAGACTCGACTCGAATGACCCATTTGCTAGGTTTATATATTATGGGACGGGGGAAGTGTAACTATGAACAAAATTATTTGAAAATATATTTTAACTAATTTAATATCATGTGACACAATAACGTTTGATTTTTACAATAAATATTAGGATAATAAATTGTTTATCCAAAAAATAGTGTTAAAATCAAACTATTAACACTATTTTTTGATTTTTTTTCACAATTGTGATTAGTAACCTAAAAGTTAGGAGTTAAGATGATAAATTGTTAAAAAAAAAAAAGTATTAACTAAATAAGTAAATACTAGTATACTTCATGTCAGAATCAAATGCATGATCAATCTACTTGATGAAACGGGATGAATTCAGCGAGTCATGTCATATCTCGTCGTCTTGTGGGGTGTGGAGTGTGGACGTGTGGATAAACAAGAATATAGTCACAATTGTTTTCGGGTAAGTTTCATTTAGCCAAGTTTCATTTAGCCCCATGAAGTTAATGAAGTCCAATGTCAATTTAAGCCTTTTGGGCCGCGCTTAACAAATGAGGCCCAGTACGAAGTAATTATGATTTTTTTTGACAAGATTTTGAAGCATTGAAGCCTTGAAGGTATTAATCTTCTATAAATATAACTAAAAAATAACTGTTGATATCAACATTTACAAATGTCAACTTCTCATACAAAATTTTGCCTCTAAAATTTTGGAACATTTTTTTTTTCAAGATAAAAAAAAAGGTTTGGAATTAGTAAATTAATTGCACATTTCCTAAAATATTTTATGCTAAAATTGATTAACTACACAATTTTTCCATGGATTAAATTAAAAGTAAGTGGCTGGACTATTTCATTTTTCTACAAACATTTTATCTCCCCTACTTTATACATTTATAGTGTTGTTTTTTATGTTTCCATAATCAACGAATTAATGCTAACATCTTATAAATAAATTTTAAATTTTATTTAAATCACGAAGCATATAGTCTGATACATGATTATAATACTCTATATTTAACATAATATCTTTCGTAATAGCTCAATTTAATCTAATTATAAGAAGACACACGATTCATTAATGTTTTTCTTAAATATGACATATAAATAAATAAGCAAAAAAAATATTAAATCGTGCATCGCACGAGACTAACCTACTGTACGAGTAAAGATGTAACCTTGCATTTGGTCCAAAAAAATTAACTTCCCTACCTATTTTAATCCATCTATCTACCATATTTTGTTTGTAATTTGTAAAATAAATTAAAAATTTATTAATACTACGGTGATAAAAAACAAAAGAGAAGATTAAGTAAAAAAAAAAAAATGATAGGCGACCTTCTTTACGATGGGAAGATTCCCTACATTTTAAAAAGTATGAGAATACACTTATGCATAGTTTGAAGACAATTATAACTTTAAAATATTTGTTTATCTCTATACCCTTATTGATGTAATGTTAATTGTCTTTAAGTTTTTTCTTGTATAATTTAATGATTTAACTCTAATGATTAATGTTTGGACATTATTCTTTCTTAAATGTTTATTTACTTATTTGCACTTATTAAGGTTAACTAGCCTTCCGACCCGTGCATTGATGTTTATAAGGGGTACATGTAATACCCCAATAATTCTCCCTTTTCCAAACCACTTACTTTAAATAAAAATAGAGGAGAACCATTGACATGTTACCGCCACGTGTTAAATTAAAACGTTAAGGCTTTATCAAAGTATTGCAGCGGAAATCCAACTTAAATCTTAAAATATATAATTTAGAAAACCAATAAGTCAAAGCTTACAAATTGGAACCATAAATGCCCTTATTTAAAACCAAACCAATAATCAAAGTCCCAAAACATAATTAAAGTAGTAAAACATAAATAAGTTCAACACAAAGAACGAATACTCTCAATCACACCAATCCCTTGACAATGCGTATGTCAAATCCCCGAACTTCACATCATCAAGCTAACCTGTGCAATACTGCTCCCCAATAATACAAATGTAATAATTGGATCATCACAGGGTCATTGAAAGGCGAAGGCCATGACCAAAAGAAAACGCACACAAAAGCACGCAATCAGCAAAGCTGAGTACATACAAGCTACAACGTACCAAGCCTAGCATGCTCAACTAATTAAAGTAAATAAACATACAACACGAATTCATTAATCAAGACTCCACACTTAAACAATTCAATCGACTCAACATACTTGCTAATCAATTCCAAACACTTGACTCTTTATATTTAATTTAATTAATTTAATTTGGAGTAAGCAATAGACGAGGTTGTCCAATCCACCAAATCATTTTGGTCCCAAATGACCATTTAAAATAAAAGTTTAGCGCGATGCAAGAATGGGCGCGACTCCATTCTCACAAAGTTAGTCTAGGATCCCATCTAACTTTCATTATAAAAATAAAATGTAAATACCAAAAGAAAAGAGGACATGTTGATCAAACAAGCCTCGGAAAGCCACGGGCTACCACCGTGTACCCCAACCCATAATTGTCAATACTCTAGAAGTGCACGCTTTCTAGAGTTTTATTGCTCATCCATGTTTCACTTTACGTGATTACAATTTTAATTAATAGCCGACTCATTCAAGAAGACCATACATAACAATCATACATCAATTCACTTTTAATCTTATTTAGGACAATGGTGATCACATCACAAGTTGACCTTTAGTTCCATTAAACTTCCAAATTATCCAAATTGTTGAACATAGTCAACTCACCTAGCCATTTCGGCTTAATCCACCTTTACTCAACATACTAACAATTCATGATTGAGTAATAAAATAAAATAAATAACAACCTTGTGGAATAATTGATAAATTCATTCCATTTAAACCATTAAATTCCAATCCTTTAATAATCCAAATGTGGTTAACAAACCAATCCAATAAAATATGTTTGTATCAATATTCCATACAAATAATTAATCCAATATAATTCAACATGTTTGCATCCATAATTCCATACAAACATAATCAATTCACCAAAACATGTCTCATAAACATAAGCACATGAATTAATTAAATGTATAACCAAACAATTTTCATCCAAGTGTTCTCTAATCATGAAACTAAGTTCTTTTCTTTGGTACCTAAACATGATACTACTTACAACGAAATAGACATGTACATACCTCGTATAAACAATCCTTTGTGCCACGTTTAATCACTTAAAAGTCTCCTAGGGAATAATCACCTCATAGAAAACAACCAATAATCACAAATTAACACTTAAACAAATTTCCAACAATATAAATTTGATTAAAGATCTTTAAAACTTCATTAAAAACATGTTTTTATACTTAATTAATCAATAGAAATCCAATAGGAACAAAAGCCCCAATTTAATTAGTCATAAGAACCCTAAAATCCAAATTTAAATAAATTGAAACCCTAGGTTTTAAAATTATAAAATCTGAAAATTATAAAAACAATTATAATTTGAAATTATTATTTTAAAACATAGAAACATGATTTTGATACTAAAAATATAAACTTTATACTATAAAATCAAAACACAAAACTAATTAATCAAACATTAAGCATAAAAAAAAAACTTCGTTAAAAATCAAAAACTGCCCGAAAATCATATTTAGAGGCTGAATTTGGCCACAAGAGGGTGGTGCTCACTACCATAGGTAGTGAATCTTTCTTAAAACATTGTTTCCACATGGAAAACACTACTTTTTTGTCAAAATCGGATGAGTTCAGAACCTGATCGGGATTAAAACGGGATTAATATTAACGAACAAAAATCTAAACATTAAAACACGAATTTACGTGTTCAAAATAATCTGGGATTAAGTTAAACTAATTAGTAGTATAATCACCAAAAATTCAAAACATCATTACTATAAAATGCCTAAATCAATTGTTCATAAAAACCCTAAAATCATGATTTTTAATGATTAAAAACCCTAGGTTATTAAATTTACAAAATCTGAAAATTATAACATTTATAAAATCTGAAATTATAAAGTTTAATCATCAAAATACAATTTGATACTAATTAAATTAATTTCAAACAATAAAATCAAAACCCATAATCAATAATTATAAGTACACAAATTAATAAAACAAAGGAGAAAGAAAATAAGACTAACCTTTTGTGTGGGGAAATTTTTGGGGATGTATGGGGTATTTATAGGAGAGAGGGTAGTAGGGTAAGTAGGGATATTGGGCCTCATTAAATTAATGGGTCAATTAAGAAAGTAAACTGGGTTTGGTTTGTTTGTTGGACATAAATTATAGAAGGAAGGTTCATAAAAAGTTATTTGTAATAAAATCGTTTATCAACCCCAAAAATAATTTGAAACTTTTGAAATTAAATTCCGGAAAAATACAAATAAATATTATAAATAATATATAATTTCATTTATAATATATTTAAAAATATGGGGGATTACAGTACAACAGTAACTTTTGTTTTATAATATGTTTTAATTGGAAAATGAATAGTTTATAAAGGAGAAGAAGAGGTGATAATTGAATGTAGATATTAAGTTGGGGGAAAATGAATCAAATAACATTCATATATGTTTTTTTTTGAAGGGAACATTCATACATGTATTGAATTAAAGCTAGTTCTTTTTTAAGATAATAAGGGGATTAATTAATGAAGGGAGGTGACACGTGGCATTGGTGAAAAATAAATTTTAATTACATGTGGCATGATGGAGATGATGGTTTGTGTTTTTAAATACTAAGGGAACATTCATACATGTATTGAATTAAAGCTACTTCTTTTTTAAGATAATAAGGGGATTAATTAATGACGGGAGGTGACATGTGACATTGGTGAAAAATAAATTTTAATTACATGTTGCATGATGGAGATGATGATTTGTGTTTTTAAATACTAAGTATAGATATAGATATAAATAGATATAGAAGTATACATTGCCTTTTTTTTTTTTTTTTTTTTTTTTAAACAACTTTAAAAAATAATGTGCAGATATCTATACCTTAAAATATTTATCTACTTCAAAAAAAAATGATGGGGCATTCCGAGAATTGAATTCGGAACCTCTCGCACCCTAAGCGAGAATCATACCACTAGACCAAATGCCCAATTGTTGCTTATTTTTCAGAAAATTAGTTAGTTATATAAACTAAAGTTTATCATTAATTCGTGTAACACAAAGTTCAAAAATCCTATTTTCATACTCTTCGCTACCAAATTAAAAGTTCCTCAACATTTCTCAATTTATGGGCTTTCGTTTGAACTTTGAAGGTAAGAATTCTTCTATTATTAAGCACATATTATTTGATTAATCGTTCACTTTATTCTTGATTTCTCTAAATTATTGCTTAATTACACAATTACTTGCTAAATAATTTCATCGGTATGTTAAACGATTGTTAATACAGTCAAATTCTTGCTGAAAAAATAACCTTGAAACTGTCCAATTTAATTGTACGGTTTCATTATTATTGCATCGTGTTATATACGCATTAAACTTGAGCTATTGTCTATTTAGCTACTAGTATATCTTATTGACTTTATTTGTTGGTTGTGTGTGAGGGTTTGAAGTGTAGTGCATACCACATGTTCGACGAAATGCTAATGAGAATTATGAACTAGAAAAATAAAAGGAGAACAATGTACTTGTTGTAATTGTTGGTATATGGCTATTCTTTGATTTTTGGGGATTTAATTTAAAGTTATAGTTTTGATTAGTTTTGTTTCTTCTATCCCAGTTGAACTGATTTCGAGCTGTTGCAAGAGTTAGATTGTTGATTGGTTCTGCGATGTTGAAGACTGTATTTGGCGAACTGTTTAGTAAAGGAGTGCACAACAATGGAGGAAATAAAGCTATGCATTGTTTGTATATGATGACGAATAACATTCACACTGGACAGGTATACCATTTTATTTTTTAATATGACTGTTACTTGTATCTACATGATTTGCATATTAGCCTCATATATACATCCCTTTTTCTGTTATAGATGTATTCGTTGATGACATTTGGAAATTCATGGTGTTCTGGTTGATGTACACTTTGTCATACAGAGTAGCTTTTATCATTCATTCCCTTCCTTTTGAGATAGAGAGACAGAGAGTGACGGGTTGTTTGTGATCATGAGAATTGTAGACTAAGGTTTGAGTGGAGTGATGTATGAGATCTGAGAATTGACAAGAATGGGGTTCTGTGCTTTTTTCGTGAATTGGTTCTCTTTGGAATTTGGCTGGGACCTGGGAGCATAAAAATGTCTGCATTCTGACCTATTGCTAGAGTTTTAGATAGTTTTCAGAAAAATGTAACTTCTGTCATGAGTGTATATGCAAAAAAATATATCCTTTGTTATATGATGAACCTTTTGGGATGTAGGGTTGGCGCTATACTCCTAGCATATTGGTCAATGGTAGAGTAACTAACTATAGGATAAGGTTCGGATCTTTTAGAAGTTAGATTTGAAATTGTAACCAATTCTAAAATGTTAATAGGCTATTAGGAAAAGTAGCTTTGAGTAATGGTACTTGATTTCTAGGCATTCTGAGGCTGGTGTGAGGATACTGAGGAATATTTTGCAGTAGATATTGAATTTAAAAAGCACATTCACATTTGCAATCCTTTAAAAATGCAAATGCTACCAGCCAGTATCAGTAAATCTTAGTTCATGAACATGAATCAAGAAATCAGGGGTCTTTCCCTTCAGAACTGATCCATCTTCTATAAAAAATTGTGCTGTAATTGATGCATGTTAGGCTTAGCTGTTTGTTTATCTCTACACATCTTGTTTAGGATAGGAGCTTATTTTAAACAGAACTGAGTCTCAAGCTGAAGAGCTTTGTAGCCTCTTGTTCACCTTGAACCAAGTTGCAATAAGCTGCTCAATTTGGTGTTATGAGTGAATGTGGGCGATATATTTATGGGTTGTAAGTTAACTCTTTCAAGTGTCTTTTGCAAGACTAGATGCTTTATTATATTGTGCCTGATGCCTGGAGTTTAATGAAGTTATCCAAGTGAGAGATCAAGTATCTGCTTATAAGAAAATAATGTTCCAGAGCTGAATTTGTTTACTAATTTGGATACAGGTTAGTGTTGATGAGCAGGTTTAGTTAACTCTAAATAGTGAGTTTGATTTGGCCTTGATTTGCATGCAATTATATTTAATTTTGGGTTTTGAGCTAAAAAACAATTATGATTGGGTATAATTGAGCAGCTTTGTTAGCCATTACTTGCAACCACCATCTTTGAACAATTCTCTTGCAGCATTGCGCATATTGTTTACCTTCTTTGTGTTTTCATATAGCTATCTAAGGTACATTTATCTCAGCTTTTTGTATTGCATTCTCAGCTTCATAGGCAATAATTTTCACATGGGATGTGATGCTCGTGATGTCCTGGGCTATAAACCCAATCACCCAAGTGAGCTATTGACTTAACCTTGCCAGACTATTTTTTAGCGTGCAACTTGATATACTACTCTATTAGTTGTTTGCATTAGCTTAATGTGATGGCCTTATATTACTATCCTTATTTCTTGGTTGTATCTGTATCTAAGCCTGTGAGTCTAAACTCTCTAAAGTATATTTCACTGTTCAATGTCGATTGACTACATGCCTTCTCCTTTCATTCAGAGTCAATTGTACTAATCATCTAAAATAAGTTAAATAACGTATATTTATTTGCTCTTTCAATTTTTGGTATTTCATCTATATGTTGATAAATATGCTCACTGGCTCAAGTTCTCAGAAGATTGAATCCTTGATAATTAATTCCTGTCTGACATGAAACCTATTGCAGTCCCACTGTTCTCCAAGGAGCTTCTTTGGGGTGGAAGATTACCTGGATGATAATAATAGTCGGCCATATACATACCAGAAGGAGAAGAAATCAAAGAATCCACAAAAGCACATATCATTTAAGCAGCGGACAATTGCTTTTATGGAACCTTTTACCCTAGATGTATTAATCTCAAAGCGATTTGTTCAGGCTTCTCTTACTCATAGAGTGACATGTAAGCAGGTTGCAGTTTCTGGTACCAACTCCAAGGATATTAAAGCTGCTCTCAAATCCCGATGTGATATACCTGCTTGTTTGGCTGTTGGTAGGATTTTAGCTGATCGGGCAAGAGAAGCAGATGTTTATACAGCTTCTTACACCCCAAGGGCTAGAGACAAATTTGAAGGGAAGATTAGAGCGGTTGTGCAGTCTCTCATTGATAATGGCATCGATGTCAAAGTCTATCTAGACTGATTGTATACAGTGTTATCAAATCTTAGTGGCTGATTGTATACAGTATAAGACTTAATGGCTGTTTTTTTGTTACTTAGCCTTGGATTGTGGTTGGCTACTTGCCTTGTTAGGTTGCTCTAGCCTAGTAATTAGGTGAGAAATCCCAGTTTTTGAGTTTCATACGTTCTTGAAACGATAGGAAAACAAACAACTTTAGAAATCCACTTCCTATTGTTGAGACTTTGGGGGTGTTTGGTATCAAATTAGTAAAGATAATAGTAGATTGGAAACAAATTAGGGGGGGAAAGGGTAATATATATAGTGTTACCCTTACTAATTGTTTGGTATTCTTAAGAAAATGTAAATGATTATAACCAATCTATTTCCTCTTGTTTGACATAGATAACTTGGAAACAAAAAAGAGCAACAATGAGCCTAGTATATGAGCAACAACAGTTTTCTACTTACTGATCTTCTTGATCATACTAACCAAATCTTCTTGATCAACTTAAAGATAGGATATAAAATTGTTTCTTCTTATTAGGTTCTTGTATCTTCCCTTTATCTTATGCTATCCCTTCATTAGTTAGAGAGTAATAGGGAGTAAAAAAAATTAACCGAATTTGATAAAAAAGAAAAAATCAAGCATATTTGGTTCTGATCATATACAATAAGCAATTACATACTACCAATTTTGTATAAATGCAAGAACAAATTTTGTATTATAGCATAGACAAGCTATTCATATACGTAGTAGTTAAATTTCAGCTAGGCTTTTTATCATACAGGTTATGAGTACCCAAAAATGAATTCTAAATCTAGGAAAGATCAAACAAGTAGAGATTAGTGTATACAGTAAGCGATTTGCATTTCAGTTACAATCATATAAAACAATATCATTAAACTATATACTACCTCCAGTTCATTTTACTTGCAACAATTTCCTTTTTGGGGTGGTTCATATTACTTGCAACAATTTTTTTTTCCTTATTTAGTAACTTTTGAGTTGCACAATTACATATATGCCCTTACTTTTTTTCTAATCCTACTACTTAACAATTTTAATTGGATTTGCTTAGTTTTATGTTTTGATTAATTAACCTAACTATTCCCACCAAATTTACCCATTTCCCTTTAAATTCCTTCATCTCCCAACCACCTTCATTGAATCTGCATTCAATACAGATTGAAGATGGTTGAGAGCATTCAATTCTGGTTCCCAGAAAACCCACCCTCCCCCAAACCCTACTTCTTTAAAATTTTCACTCTCTCACTCTCTCTCCTCTTTGCCTTCTCTTTGTCTTCTCGTATACTTCATCTTCTTCTCTTTTCTCTCTTCATTTTCTGGGTTCCGCGACTTCCTCACTCTTCAATTCTCCATCAAAATGTCTCAAACTCAACCAAAAACTGCAGATCTCATCTGCCTTGAGTCCCTTTCTTCCGGATCTACACGTTCACCCCCTAAAGAGGGGGTTACGAGGTATGTGCCTAGGCGTGGTTCTCGTGTGATGAAGCCAGTCCGTCGGGCTTCAATCATTGCAAGAAGGAAGATTAGAGGGGCGAAGCTTGTTGAATACATCTCCAGTGATGAGGATGAGCAGCCCTTGCGCAGTTCTGGCTCCAAAAGACCTGTACCAGCAGCTGAAAGCCCAGATCTTGAGATTGTTGCAACCAAGGAGGGTGGATCTGCTCCTGCCGTCCCTGTACCAGCTCCTTCACCACCACAAGAAGCCATCTCCTCAACTGGGTCTTCGGCGTTTCTCGAATTGACTGCTGGTGAAGTTCTCCAGCCACCAGATTCTCATCCTATGATGGGTGGGAGTTCTACTGGCCCTAGTGGTGGTTCTAAGAGGGTCAGATCTGGATTTCCTGAGGGGCTTGAGCCTGATGATGTTGTGGAGGCTTACCTCTAGATCTACTACCCCCAGTAGTCCCTTTCCCCATACTGATTTGGGCAACATAATTTCTATCACCCCTTTCTTCTTTTACTGTTCCAATTTTTTGATATTCAGGTCAATAATGCTACATACTGGTTTTTGTGATTTTGTTTTTGGTTCTGTTGGCTTTTTTGTTACTGAATTTATGAGTCCCTGTGTTGTTGGCTTTTATGTTACTAAAATTCTAATTTACTGAGTGTTGTTGGTGTGTTGGATTAGCCTATATCATGTGTTGCTGTGTTGGATCTTGTTTTCCTTTGTGTTAGTGTGTTGGATCTGGTTATCCTGTGTACTGTTGGATTTTGTGTTGTTGGTGTGTTGGATTTAAGGCTGGAGAATTTGAGTCCCCTGTCTTTGATGTAATGAGTCCCCCCTCACAAAATGCATGTTACCCAATCCCATCCAAATGATGAAGGGACTCATCAAATAGCTATTTGAGTAAGTTGGCTGCTCTAGTACCCTCTTTTTGAGGAGTACTATTGAGGTACCACAACTCAAAGATGCCTTGAAAGATAATTAAACCCTAACTGATGGATGATTGTTACCTTTTAAAGATATTGATAGCATTAATGTCCCAAAAAGTGGATTTTGATACTTACATACCTTCAATTGCATATAAGACTGCCTATCTATGAATACACAATCTTTGTTATCAAAATACACCTAACCAATACTATTGTAAACAACAAAAAACATGTTAAAATTATGCTGGTTATGTGTGGCAGTCTATGCTTCATCTTGTGTGATATGCTTCCCTTCAATCTTCAGTCTGCATCAACCTCCATTTGGTTTTCATTTGCACCAGTTGTTGGAATAATGATTGAATCTAGGTAGTGAACTACCTCTGCAATGAGTTCCTTGTCCACCTCTAGCAAATCTGGTAGAACACCTTGCCTATCTAAACTCCTTTTTTTCATGTGTGGTGGTGTGTAGTTGTTACCCCCTTTTCTTCTTAAGACCTCAATCATGCAAGATTGGAGAGTAATCCAACAGTATTTATTAAGCTCTGCCTCAAATACATTGAATGCTATTTCTACTTCTCTTATAAGATCATCTAAATTTTGAGGAAATGACTGATACCGTAATGATTGAATGACATTGAAGAGTCCTAAGTCTAATACATTCATGTCTGGTGATTATGCTGGTTGAAAAATAAACTTGATGTTGAACCCATATGCTTGACATGCTTCCTGAAATTCTTCATCTTGTGGTATTTGGTGAGGCCTAGCATTGTCCCACCGAATTGTGATGTCCTTGGGCAGTTGGGGAGGCCATTGTGCATGTATTGTTGGCAACACATGGTTTAGTAGCATGTCCCTTATAGCTTCTTTGTTTATGCTCTGCACTGCCTTAGCTTCAATTGTACCCTTGTCTTTGTTTTTGCTTTTTTTCTTTGCTTGCTCATACTTGACAAAGGGAAATAGACCATACTTACCATCATGTAGTAATTGTTTGTTCTCATCATACAATGGTTTCCCAACCATGCCCATAAACATTGCCTTCACCTTAAATCTCCTTGACTGCTGTGCTCTGTATGGATTTTCTTCTGCTGGTAAAAGATAAAATGTTCTTGTTTCTGGGTTTATGAAAAACCACTTCTCATTAATGTGTATCCATTGTTGCATATCAACAAAAGAAGGGTCCCCTTCTGCAGGAATAGGGGTAATGTGACTGAGAACCCATTTCAGTCTTGCTATTTTATGATTGTCAGTCAGTGCTAGTTTGTTTGTGCTTGTGTGTGTTCTTAGTCTTCCCCTTTTCCTTAAACTATGAATTGCAGACTTAGAAATATGAAGGGTTGTAGCATACCCTCTTTCAGTTTGTCTCTTGTACAAAGGGATTGATGTTAAGAATTCATCAGTGTATTCCTTTTGTTTTCTACCACAAGTACCTAATTTCTTTGTCCTAACATCTACACCATTTCCTTCTAGCATGTGTTGTTTAATTACCTTAAACCATCTTGTTGTTGTTGATCTATGCACATAATGCTTTCTAGCCAAGTTTGATAAAAATCCTCTTGGCAAAGAGTCCCCCTCCATATTGAGCATGATCTCATCAACAAGATTCCTCTTTTCTTCCACTGTCATTTCTCTTTGTTGTCTGCCATAAACATGTTCTGCATCTTGTTGTTCAACATCATCATCTGCATCATAACCATCTTCTTCATCTGAGCTGCTGTTGTTATCATCACTGTATTCTGCACTGAATTGATGCCATGTTGCCATATCTTGTTCCTCATCATAAAGCTGATTTGCATTAAAGAAGAGTTATTCAAAGAACTCTGCCATGAGTCCCCCCTTTATTTTTTTTTTCAGGCTGACTGAAGGTGATGAAGTGGTGGCTGGAACTTTTTGGATGGTCTTCAACGGAGCCTAGTACAAATGGACATAGATGTTTCTTTTGATTAACTTAGCACTGTGAATGTAGGCTGATTACACAAGGAGTCCCTTTTAAATTTGGCTGGAAAAAAAAAGAGGGAATCCCTTTCCCATGTGAAAAAGCAGAAAATTTTGGGTGGGAAAAGTCCACCTAAGCATACTTTCCCACCCTTCATACTTTATTAAAAATTGGGACCACATACTTTCCCTCCTTATTATCTCCCTTAATTGATAAACCATCACATGCATTAAGCCCCTTAAAAGTTTTGTCTTGGTTTGCGTAAACTTGTACTTTGTTGCAAGTAAAATGAACCGGAGGTAGTACTATAATGTTACAAGACTGATTACAGAATTTTGTTCATTATTAAAAGAGAATACCTGGAATTTGGATAAACGTTGGAAGCATCCAGATTCAAGCATCATATTAGCAATAATGCCATGAAGCAAAAAGCAAGAGATTCAATTGAGAAAAGTAAAACTCAAATAAAACAAAAAAATTAGCACAGAAAACCCTAGAAATTAATACCATGGATGGAAAATAGCAATCAACAAATGGACCAAACACTCAATTAAGGAAAAAATTTAACAACTTGAGCGAAATCTATAACTTCGATCGATCAAAATTGGGATTTTTTTTAGAGATTTGTCGTATGCGAGCCTGAGAGGAGAGAGGAGATTTAGATTTGTCTTTTTGAGTTAGAGGAGAGAAATGAATTTGTTTCCCCATGTTTTACACGGGAAACAAAGTGGTGGAATGGGTTAGAGAAAAGAAATGGTTTCTCTTGCTTAACTCATTAACCAAAAAAAAAAAAAAACTCATTAACCAAACATGTTCTAACGGAAACGGTAACATAATTTCGTTTCTAGCCCTACAAAAATAGCATACCAAACACCCCCTTTGTTACCTTGTCACGTTATTTTTTTTTTTTTAATTTTTTATTTATTTAGGAATTGCTTGATTTTGTGATTTTGAAAGACGATGATGTTGATGAGTTCCCATTCAATCACCCAAGGATGTTCATGCTTTATCCAATTGGTTGATTCATTGGTTTGGTAGGTGCCAAATCTCGTCATCTCCTATCATTTGTTCCTATAGTATCTCCATTTGTTCAATCTAGCTGTGTAGTAGTTAATTATCCAAACTTTAACTTTGTGTCTGAGTTAGCTTGAACATGTCTCTTAAATTTAGGTGTTCTTTCTTGTCGTTCCCCATGGTACGGTCCTTTATTTGCCATATGATTATTGTTTTGCTAAAGACCGAATATCCATATAGTCAATAATTTAGCTTACAAATTGTTATCGACCAATTAGGGCCTATTCACTTTAGCTTAATTTCAGTTCAGTTCACTTTAGCTCCTAATTTCCTTCTCTCATAAAATATTCTATCAACTCTATTCAGTTCAGTTCAGCTCTAATCAGTTTAGTTCAGCTCAGTTTAGTGAATGTGAACAAACCCTTAGTGGTGTTTCTAGCCTTTCTTTTTTTTTTTTTTTGTTGTTGTTGTTATCTTGTAAAGCTTTTGTTTTTGTTTTTTTTTTCCAAAATATTAACTGCCGAAAAAACCAAAAATTTTAGGGTTCGTTTGACATCGCTGTGGTTTCTATTATTTTTTTTATTTTTATTTGTTTTTGTTTTGTTTTTCAAAGTCATATGATATATGATATATAATGAATCAAAAATAAGTCCAACAAAAAAGTGAAAACACCTTGAAAACAAAAAACAATGTCAAACAAGTAGTCCATAAACAAATTTCATTTTAGCTCACAGTGAATTCTAAGTTATAGAAAAAAACCCCGAAAAACTCTCTGTTCTCTCTCATCCCAAAAACCAAAACAGAGAACTCCCTTCCCCTGAAACCTAGGACCTCGCCAGAGTTTTGGCGTCGCGGCCCCTCTGACAAGTTTCCTCTTTCGTTTTTAGCTCTCTTTTCAAGTTTTTAATCTCGAATAGGTTAGCGGAGGGAAAGAAGGTTGTTTTCAAATCGGGTTTCAAGGTTGGTTGACAAAACAAGAATCGACGGCTACCTTTAACGCTGCCGGCTAGTGGTGTAAAGTTAGGGTTAGGGTTTGTTTCTTGCGTTGGGCTTTATTCTCGAATCTTTTTCCTTTTGTGAGTTCGGGGTTTGTTTTGAGACTCCTTCTGCGGCCGTCGTTTGGTTTGCCGGTGAAGGATCTATCGGTTTAATAGGTTGTTTCTGTTGTGCCTAAAATTTTACTACAGGTTCAGATGACTGCAGGTTGCTAGATCGCAGGTCACAGGTTGCTAGGTCGCATGTTACAGATTGCTACGTGATCAGCTACCTGGTTCTAGGTCTTAAATATAATCAAACAAAGATATTTCCAAGGAATATTCTAAGAGAATCCAAGTTTGAATGAAATCAAATTTGTTATAAGCTTTCCTACAATCAAGGAGGAGATATTTCCCACCAGGAATAAGTTAATCGGAAATGTTAAATGTATCTACACCGCAAATCAGTCCACATTCATTGAAGACCAAATCAAGGAGTCAAACTACTTCTCCTATTTTCGTGGAGGACACTCCCACTATCCTCCAACTAACCAGCAACAAAGAACAAGTCAAAAGGCAAAGGATAAACACAAAGAGAATATGGCATAAATCTCGTAGCTGAACCTGACAGCTAACTCCTACTTTTAAGGAATCATCAAGGAAGTTGTTACAAGACTTCAAAAGACTCCCCCATTATAAATAGGATGGAAGACCATTGTAAAAACACAAGATACGAGCCCTAGGCATCATATTTCATAGTCATTAGCAATTAGTACTAAATTACAGGTTCATTCTTAGTCACAAAACAACCTGTATTGTACCTGTAATTCATTCTCAAACTAGTAAATTGGTGGACTCAACGCCACCCGCAGTTTTTACCCTTATTCCTGGGGTTTTCTGCGTCATCATCTTGTGTCTCTTTTCCTCTTTCCCCTTTGTTCATCTTTTGTAGGTTATCTACCCTCATTAATTGAACCTACACTATCATTTGCATACTTTTTAATCTAGCTGTTGTCCTATAGAACCTGGTCGAATCTAGCGAGCAGATTTTGGCCAAAACAGTTTCCAACCTTGTGTTTTCTTTCTTGTTTGAATGGATTTTAATTTGTTTTTAATTTTCCTTGCTTTAATGGGTTTTGCTGTAAGTTTATTGCTCTTCGATGCGGTTTTCTTTGTCCTAATTGGTGTTTGTCAAGTTTTTTGAGGTTTTAAAGGAGTGTGTTAAGCTCCTGTTTATAGTTTTGGATATTCGAGTTCGTGTATTTTGGGGGGTTTGCCATTGGAGTGGTATCCTTTGGTTATTGTAATTGGTCAGGGCTTGTAGTTTGGTCGTCGTTTCCTCCTTCGATTTTTTCAGACGAAGGATTTTCAATCTATTACTTTGAAAATTTCCTATCTTATATATAATTGCTCCTCAAAATGAAATGTTTGGGGGCCTTCAAAATTCTCATTCCCAGAGAAGAGATCAATGGTACCCACAGTTAAGGGTACCAAATCACTTAAATGTGTGATTCAATATGTGTTGTTATGCCCTAACCACTTTGTTTCCTATCCCATCTACTTTATGTTATTGGCTATTAGTGGTGCCTTTTCAGCTCGTTAATATGTATGCCAAAGTTTGTTTGTTCAACATCCTCTTATACATTCTCCAGGTTCAATGGAAAGTGGGATACAATAATATAATGTTGTATTCTAGGTCTTATGTTCAAAGGCAATTGGTGCTTGATGAGTAATATTTATATAGAGTTTATAGGCACGTTTATACTAGTTAATAGTAGCTTTTTAGGTCATTTTAAAAAATAAAATGATAAATTTTACTTTAATTAACAATTTTTTTTCAAAAATAATTTAGTATATTATTTTGTATATGTGTGATCCTATCTATTACATAATATTATCAATTATAAGATTCTATTACATAATATGCGCGATTAACTATAGATATAAATGTTATGATTGGCGCTTTTTTGTTGAGAAAGGATTGATGCAATATTTTGGTTAGTACTTAGGTCCTGTTTTCTTCACCTTAATTTTGTTGAACTGAAATTATTTTTGCTAAACTGAAATTATTTTTACTGATTTTCCATTATAATTCTTCTTTAAGAAAACTGAGTTTACTGAACTGAACTTATTTTTACTGAATTGAAATTATTTTTACTGAAATGAAATTAATTTTACTGAACTGAACTTATTTTTGAACTGAAATTATTTTTACGTAATATTAATTTTTTAAGGTGAAAAGAACAGAGCCTTAATGTGTTGTTTATTTCTAAGTGTTATTGATTCTATTGTATACATAATATTATCAATCATAAGATTCTATCAATCAATAATTCAATAATCAATTAAATACTACTAAAAGCGAATCTAAAGACACACTTGTCAATATATTATTAAATAATTTCCCGCCAAAAGTACCTTCTAAAAAAATTATTGTTATGTAAGGAAAAAATAAATTATATCTAAATTATGACATAATTTGTTTTATATAAAATATAAATCTTTTCCTATAAGATTAAACTATCCATTATATATTTACAATTATTACATCTATTTTAAATATTTTCTCTTACAAGCTTTTATTTTTAATATACTCTATAATTTTTAATACTCAAGTCATTATATCAAAAAATTTATAATAAAATTGTCAAAAATATTTAACAATCGTGCATTGCACAGGATTTAACCTAGTTATATACTAAAAGCGAAATCAGGAATGACACATGTCATCTCCTGATTAAATTTTTTCCCGCCCATTTTACTTTCTGTTTTTACACATATTCTTTAAGGAAATTATTTTACAATAAACCAAAATATCTTTCTCCCAATTAAAATTCTTAATAATAGTAATCCTCCATATAAACCCAACTAATATATTTTTAAATATACGGAGTATTTTATACTTGCTCTGTTTTTTTTAGTTGACACCTTTCTATTATCACGCTTTCCAACACATGTTTTTATCGATTAATTTCTCTAATTATCAACATTGTAAAATTAAAAAAGTGGATATTAATAAAATATACATTGAAACGAATTAAAGAGGATCCCTCATGAATATGTTTTATCGTATTTATAAACCACTAAGCGAGTCAAAGCGTGTTGTGTGAATAGTGTAAAAGTCAAACGGTGTCAACTAAAAAAAACGGGGGAAGTATTAGGTATTTATTTTTTTGTAAAAAAAATGAACGTATATTAGGTAAATATTATTTTCTCCGTTTTTAAATACTTACTCCATTTTTCTTTTCTAGCCGTTTTAAATGCTTGGTCAATTTCCTTATTTGGAAAGATTTTACAATATTTTACTCATTTCTCTCACCAAGTGACCCCCATAAATCACATTTTATTGATTTCATATTTTCTTTCCTCCAATTCTCTCAACTACTTTTGCTTTTAACAATTTTTTATTCTTTCACTTACCCCACTACCTCTATATTTTAGTACTTTCTTTAATTTCTCCTAACACTCCGCGCATGGAGAAATTGATCAAGTGATTAAAAACAAAGGGAGTATTAAACAATATTGTTCTATATTATCTTAGTTTTCGATAATGCTATTAACTTTTTTTTTTTCTTCCAATTTTGTTACTTTTGCAATAATGTTTAATTCAATAAAAACAAAATCATTTTGTTAACACACATATATACACACTTTATTTTAAAATCTTAAAAGTCGTATCAATAATAACGTAGCACGCACGGGTACTATCCTTAGTGTTTTATTTTCTTAAAATAAAACCTAATAGACCCTTTATTTTTTTTTAAAAATCAAGTCTAAGGGCCTGTTCACATTTACTGAACTGATTGGAGCTGAACTAAACTGAACTGAACTGAACTGAACTGAACTGAACTAAGCTGAAATGAATATTTTATGAGAGAGGGAAATAAAAAGCTGAACTGAACTGAACTGAAATTAAGTAAATGTGAACAGACCCTAAGTGTCACTAATATTGGTATAACTAGGTATAAAATTAAAGTTATATATATTTTTGGATTGGTATTATGAATACAATTTTTTATTTTTTTTTGTTTTTTTTTCCAGAAAATTCAATGCAATAACTCTTTATTAAATTTGATAACAACCGTGCATTACACGGGACTTAAACTAGTAGAATATTAACATAAAATAACAATAATTACACAGATCAATGACACATGATTTTGACGTGCATTATCAAATTAATATCAGTTTAAGAAGTATAATAAATTGTTATCATAAGGCGTCCTTTAGCGAGATCCATTAAATATATTTGATTTTATTGATGCTAGGATAATGTTTTCCAAGTTATGTGGTTGTAGACGAGCACTTACTATGAAAATTTGAGTCCTTATTTTTGTTGATATGTTTGTTGATAAGTTTGTTATATATTTTATCGTTTATTGAATCTTTGAGTGGTTATCATACACTACCTTGTCAAGAAAATTTGGAATACAAGAAAGTTCAAACGTTGTAAAATTGTCTGATATTTCGTTTTGGAGGAATAAAAACGTTGTACTACTCGTACACTTGAATAATATTAATTCGAGTAACCGAATGGAGTTGGGGTTTGTTATGTTTGGATCAAAGTTACTATTTTAACCTGCCCCGATTTGAATCGGTTCAAATTTGGGCCAAGATCTGTCAAGTTTGGGTTGGGTCAACTTTAGATCAATTCATATTCAGTTCAAGTAATTCATACTAGGTTTAAAGCGGATTTGACCGGGTAAATTTTGAAGCGGATGACTTTGAGTCCGGTTGATTTCACTTCGGTTAAGTTTAGTTTAGTTTTAGTAGGGTAAGGATGATTTAATATCGTGTTAATTTTATTTCATCATATCTTTTTTTATCTTGGCTGAATTTGGATTAGGTTGACCCATTTCAATATTCAAATAAAGCCATTTTAAACTAAAGTAATTACCTTATAATTGGATCACTATCAAGTCATTTATGTCTCATTTAACTCCTTTTTCATGTCGTGTTACCAATCTTTTAAAAACAAGAAGATGAATATTTCTTGGTCTCATTGATGTCATTTATACCCGTTTCAAAGATTAGCATATCATCAACGTATAAAAAATACAATGACACCATAACAATTTGAGAACTTAGAATAATAAATACATATATTATCATAATTATGAGTAAAACCACATGACAAAATTGTAGAATTAGGTTAAACTAAGAAAATCTTTTCCTTGTAAACCTTATAAATAGGTAAAAATTCTACAATGTCATTCTTTAAAAATGACAACACAATTTGCTGATGTGGAAAACTTTGATTGGCCTGTATTTAGTATTTTTTTTTCATTTTGATATTTTTAATGTCCATAATGTATTAAAATTTTTTTTGTATGTATTTTTTTTAAGAAATACGTAATTATAAATTATAAAAAATATAGTTTTTATAATATTAATTATTTTTTGAATTTATAATTATAATTAAAGATAACAAAATTAAAATTGTTCATCATTGTTCATCCATGTTCATCAATCATGTCATAGATTTGCCCCCATTCCCAAAATCAATGTTAGTTGTTGATAAATTCATAAATCCGAACACAAATTGGGATAAAAATTCGAAATAAATTGTGTTTTTGCGTTTGGTTTTTTGCCGATTTTTATTTTAGGTTTTTGTTCATAAGGAAATCTCAACAATAATCTCATTTATAAGTTTTTGCAAAGGACAAATTCCGATTTGAATTGTTCAAAAATATCATTTATGTGGACTCAAGTTGTGCAATTTTGACAAAGAACAAGGAGTATCAAGTTTGTAGAAGATGAATTGGTCGCATCTTTTTTTGGTTCGCAACCCCTATTTGATCCGATAAATGTAATTAAGTTTTCTCGAACTTGTTTGTGGGTTAGGTAATGACCTACCTAATATAGATAATTACCTAACTATATACAAGTAATTACCTAACTAAATACAGGTAATTAACTAACCACAAATAGATAAAAAAAATCACATATCTCAATTCTAAATCAAACAGATCTGCGAAAAAAAATTCAAACAATAAATCGCAGAGCACACCCTCTTTATCCATCAGTTGATTGTAAAAATAATTGAAAGATACGTGTTTTAGATCATCATAATACATGATCCCAAGGCTACTTTCATCATCAAAACTATCAAACAACATTATTTTTACATAAATCATAATTATCAATCGACCAACGAAATTTGTATACGAATCAATGAAGCAGATTCAATTCGAAACCCAACAAATCTGATCATTGGGCAAAATTTTAGTTTGAGTTCCGAATAGATTATACAAGATTTTGGGGTCAGGGTGGTTAATTAAGATCATGAATGAAGAACAATGAAGAACAAAGATGATTTTTTTTTTTATTTTAATTATAATTTAATTTTCGAAAATAATTTTAAAAAGATAAAATTAGTTTTTTAAAAAAAAATAATTACGTGTTCTTTAAAAAAATACATATATTTATAATTATACATACATGTATAGTACATTTAGTATTTTAAAAATAAATAAAAAATAGACCAATCATAACTATGACACATCACCATGTTATGGTGTAACATCCTATAGATAGGCCACAAAACTATCAATAAATTTTAGTGTATTTTTGTTTTGGGATTAACTTTTTAATGCTGCTTGTTTGATTTCTAATGATAATCTTCAATCCATCACTTGTAGCGACTTGATTATTTTCTAGTCGTGACTAGGAAGAGGCGACCATGTATTCATTTGAGAATCAGGGTATTATCCCTTTTATTGAAGCCATAATTTCCATTTTTATCACTTCAGAATTCAGATCCTCAAAACTCTTCACAAAGATTCAAGCTTAAATCGTTGCTAATTCGGATTAAAATCCATGTCACTATTGCCCCAGTTTCAAAATAACTAACACAAGATACTATTATTGTGCATCAAAGCATGGTTCTTACAGGCGTATGCCCCAAACTTGGTGCATATGTTTCATTAAAAAAACCAGAATGAAAAATATTACAGAAATGCAATAAACATATACTTACAGTGAAAAGAACATACTATTAAAATGTAATAAACATACTATTTGTTGAGAATACTAGCCAAGATCCTTTTGTTCAGTCCATCTACACAGGCCCAACCCAGACTCAAGCCCAGACTCAAGATAGATCAAGTATTGTGAGCTCTCCAGCTGACTCGGCATAAGTTGTTATAACAACTTTTCCACCTCAGCAGTCACACTTTTCGTGCTCTCTCTTTCCTCTTTAATTAGTTGGTTATCAGCATTAATTTCTCATTCATTCAATTTTCTTCTTACTCACTTTTTCTCTGTAATAATGAACTCTCAAACTTCCTCCATTTTTGCTCCAAGCTAAAGCTTGAGCTCGATTGATTGAATGATGAAGACAACAACTATTTCTGCTATTTTCTCTATTTTGATTCACAATTTTGACATGGTATCAGAGCTATAATCTGATCGATCGTTTTTTCGCTGCATTTCTGGATTGTTCTTCGTCGTTCTTCGTACTTTTCTGGATTTCTCTTTTTGAGGTATTTTTTCTTCGATTTCTTCTTTGATTGTTAAAATTGAGGTTTCTGTCTATTTTTCATCTTCGATTTCTTCGGTGATTGCTTGTTATTCTTGAGGATTCTGTGTTTTTCTGTTTGGAGAATTTGTTTGTTGATTACGAAGTAATTTCTTCTGAATCGTTCGATCTGTTGAGATATTGTTACGATTTCTGAACTGCTGAATTGTTGTGCTCTTTCGAGCTATTTTCTGGTGATTTTGCTTGTTTTTTGAGGCATGGAAAGTCCAATGAATTCTGCTAGTCGATTTATAGAACCTACTCAGGATCCTTGTTTTGTGTATTACATACATCCTGCTGATAATACCAGTTTGAAGGTCGTTTCTGATCTGTTTAATGGAGAACATTATAGTTCTTGGAAGAGATCTTTGATTTTGCACCTTTCTACAAAAAATAAGATGTGTTTTGTGGACGGTAGCTTACCTAAACCGCCTAGTCTGGATTCTAAGTATAAGGCCTGGGTTAGGTGCAATGATTTGGTTATAGGTTGGATTCTAGGCACTCTAGGTCCTCTTATTATTAAGAGTGTCTTCTTCTATAAGACTGCTCATGAAATCTGGAAGGATTTGGAAGATAGATATGGCCAAACTTCGAATGCTCAAATGTATTCAATTCAGGAAGAGATATTTGCTGCTCATCAAGAGGATGATAGTATTCCTGAGTATTTTGCCAGAATTAAGAATATCTGGGATCAGTTTGATGATGTTTGTCCCTTGCCTATTTGCACCTGTTCTGGTTGCACCTGTAATCTCACTATGAAGTACTTGAAGATACAACAAGATCAAAGGCTTCTTCAATTTTTGATGAGATTGAAAGCTAGTTATCAACAAGTAAGGAGTAATGTTCTTATGATGATGCCTCTTCCTCCTATCAATCAGGCTTACAATCTTTTGTTGCAAGTAGAAAGACACAAACAGTTGAGTGAGTCAGGACATTCTTCTGAAACAATGGCATTTGCTGCAGACAGAAAGAAATTCTATAAACCTCCACATCAGAATCCTCAATTTGGTAACTATGGAAGTAAACCTGCTTCTGGTGATAATTCTTATCCTTCTTTCAGACAGAATATGGGATACAGGAAAAGAGATTTATTCTGTGATCATTGTAAAATGACAAATCATACAATTGATAAATGTTTCAAGCTGCATGGTTTTCCTTCCGACAGACCTCATCAGCCAAAGAAATTTGCTCATTATGCTCATGGTGATGATAACAATTCTGAGACAGATTCTCCTTTCACTAAGGAACAATTAAATGCTATCATGAGTTACATCTCCAAACAAAAGGATTCAAAATCTAAAAACTCAGTTCCTCTGATTGGTGAGAGCTCCAACAGTGCTGCTTTATTTGCAGGTAAATTCTGTTTCTTATCTCAATTTAATTTTGGCTGGATCATAGACAGTGGGGCTACAGATCATATTTGTTATGATCTAAAAATGTTTGATACATTCACTGAGTTTCATAGTCAAGACAATAGTATTAATATTCCTGATGGCAGAAAGATACTAGTGACACATATAGGCACAATCAAGATAAATAGTCAGATAACCCTAAGGGTAGGGGTGTACACCGGTCCAAAACCGGACCGGACCTGGACCGGACCTGTTTGGACCGGGGACCTGAATTGGGTAATTATGAGGACCGGGGACCGGACCTGAATTAACAGGTCCGGTTCCGGGCCAGACCTGAAAAATCAGGTCCGGTCCGGGTTTGGACCTGAATGGACCTGTTTTGTGTCTTTTTCGTTTTTTTTTTTTAATACAAAACCTGTTGGACCTGCATATGGACCTGTTTTGTGATTTTTAGACCTGTTGTATAATTTAATAATTACATACAAACCAAAATTATCAATTACAAAACTACATAAAGTCTATAAAGTCCCGATTCTCAAACACCAAAAATACAAATGAGTCCACCGAAAATACAAATAAGTCCACGAAAAGTCATAAAATTACATAAATTCTCTTAAGTCTCAACTCTCAACTCTCAAGTATTAGGAATACATAAATTCTCCAACGAGTTGTTTTCCCTTTGATCGCGTGATTCACACTAATGAGTCCACGAAAACAACTTCATCGTCTACATCGTTAGATTCACCACGTTGCACCTCTAAATAAAATACAATATAGAATATATTAATGATTGATAACAATGAAATAATAAATTTGGTGTAACAAAATTTCAAATACATAAAATTATTACTACCTTTCTCTATTTCCTCTAACTCTTTCAAATTTTCTTCCACATCAACAATTGGCACTTCCTTAGCTCTAAGCCAATCTTGTGTGCAAAGTAACGCTTGAACCATCTTCAATACAAAAATATTACACAAATATGTATAAACAAAGTCATATTAAGATATAAACAAACTTGATTTTATAAAATAAAAAGATAACGATGCATTACCTTAGGAGTCAAAGAACTCCGAAATGGATCTAGAGTACGACCTCCCGTACTAAAAGCAGATTCCGATGCAACGGTCGACAATGGGATGGCTAGTATGTCACGTGCCATGCGATTAAGAATCACATAACGCTGACCATTCTTACCCCACCATGTCAATGCATCTTGTTCTTCCTCCTCCGGCCCTAATTGATCATTTAAGTACCTATCCAACTCACTTATCGCATACCCACTTGTCCCCTTCAATCGTTTTGCTCTTTCTTTTAGTTTCCTCACATAATCGGAACCCACTCCTTTACTATTATCAATATCCATTGACATATTATCTCCACAATCTGGAATATTAGAAGTAGCATACATTTTTCTATATTCCTCAAATAAAGAGTAAGCGAACTCCTTCACATCATTAGCAAGTTTTGTACCCTTTTCCGGTCCATGCATATCCGTTAGTGTCAATTCAACAATGACCATCTTAGAGTGAGGGTCGAGAAGAAGAGCAACATAAATGAACTTATTCATCTTATCCACATCCCCCCAATACTTATCAAACTTTTTTTTCATTGCAATGGCCATGGCTTGAAAATTCAAGTCCTCACTTTGTTCCCAATTATTCAACATATCATACATAGAAGCAATTTCTCCTAAACCTTTATTAGCTGTCACATAATGGGAACCAGAAATTCGTTTAGTTAACAGATAAAACCCCCCTAGAAACAAAACCAACCTCTCCACTTTTTCCCAATCTTCGGGTTCGGGAGGCCTTTCATTGTCATTCAAATCCTCTCCATCAGGAAGAGATAACCCACTAAAAACACGTCGAAACTTCAAAGCCGTTTCCAACATTATGTATGTGGAGTTCCAACGAGTGGGGACATCAAAGGATAAAGAAGATTTTGAATCTATGTTTGCTTTTTGCACAAGATCTTTGAATCTAAGTATTCTTGCAGGGGAATTCTTAACATATTTCACAGCATTTCTAACTCTATCAATGCACACACCATGTTCTCTAATACCATCCCACACAATTAAATTAATGATATGAGCAATGCATCTAACATGAAGATTTTTTCCATCATTTATACATCCTGTTCTTCTAACCATTCTACTCAAGTGTGCACAAGCAACATCATTTGAAGAAGCATTATCAACAGTGACAGTAAAAAGTTTATCATCAATACCCCAATACTCTAAACATGCCTCAACTGCTTTTCCAATAGCCTCTCCTTTATGACTAGAAATTGGACAAAAATTTATGATCTTTTTATTCAATTTCCAGTCATTATCAATGAAATGAGCTGTAAGACACATATAATTAATTCTTTGTATTGAAGTCCAAGTATCAGTGGTCACAGAAATTCTTTGACATGTCTTAAACATTTCTCTCAATTTCTCTTTTTCACTATAATACAACTTTAAACAATCACGAGCAATGGTAACACGAGATGGAATGTGAAATTGTGGACATGCAACTTGCACAAAGTGCCTAAAACCGGGTTTTTCCACATGCTTAAATGGTAACTCATCAACAATAATCATGTGAATCAATGCCTCTCTAACATCATTCAAGTTAATAATCCTACTCCCACACTTTAATTCACTACTCTCATGTTCGTGATCAAAATACAATTTAGTTTGCTTTTCTTTGCCCTTTTCTTTTTCTATATTAATAGGATTACCGAGACATGATTCTGCATGGTTTTTAACATTTTTTGAACCATTAAGATTACCATCAGCAGCAAAAGTTTTAGGACAGAACTTACATTCAGCTCGTAGTTTTCCATTCTCGACGTACTCTAAGTAATATTTCCAATACTCAGCTTTCCTCTTACTTTTTCTGTTCCATATATATTCCCGCCCCGCTTTTAGCTTCTTATCAGGAGGCAAAGTAGATTGCAATTCTTCCATATCCTTTTCAGAAAGTGGCTGTGACGTTTGTTCAGAAAAAGAAGCAGACCGTTTGGATTGAGAGCTCTCCATCTACAATATAATTATATACAATATAAGTAATTTTAAAGTAACAATTATATACACATACCATTTTATAAAAAAAATTTAAGAGCAACTTACATTGCAAGAATAAGAATCCGTGGTTCCTTGACTTCCTTCACTCCCTGCAAGAATAAAAACAAAAATAACAAACAACTGCAAACAAAAAACTTGTAGGATATTGTTGATAACAAACAACTGCAAACAACCTTTGGTAGCGGCACTTAGAACTTAAGAGGAACACCCCCATTTGCACAAGAATGTCAAAAGAATTCAGAAATCATAAAATGTACCTATCAGATGGATAACATCCACATACAAAATAACAAAGTACCAAATAGAATATAATGTACTAGTTATGATTATGCCATTTAAGCATTAGAGTATTACTTATATCCTAATCTGTATTAAAATTGTCAATTACTGAAAAACAAAACATGAGGTATATGACAGTCATCAAGATGTCCTGATTCAACTCAAGTTTACTAGCCTAGTGCCATGAATACCACCAGCAACAAAAGCTGCTTTTGCATGTTGAAGCATTCTCCCAAGTTCAAGATCTCCGATTTAACCTTCCCAGGGTTTCCATTCACAAAAATATCATCACACTTGAAATCTCAATAATGACGGAAGGATTCTGACAGTGAAGACAATCTAACCCTTTCAAAATCTGTCTAAACCAATTCTTGAAAGCCTTTTTATAACCAAGATTATGTTTCTTGCAATACACGAAGGTCAAAAAATAGACTAGGGACTATAAATAGAGAATAAAAAAAACCATACAGGTAGTTTTTTCTGATACACCTTACTCATATAGAATCTTCACTAAGAGCATACAGTGGAATTCTTGATTATCCAACATCCAAAGTCTACTATCTTTGCCACTTACAAAGATGTTTATTTGTTGGGAGCTGCACGTGAGCTTCGACCAAACTACCAAAGTTGGTTTTGATGTCTAGTTAAGGCTCCTTATCTGCACCTATTGCCACAAAGGTTCTCATTTACCAGCATTTCTGTTAAGAGGGAGTAACTTGCGAAGTTGCCTACAGGTAGACATCAGCTTAAGGATAAGCTAACCTAGATTTAAAATTAGAATGCTAAATGGGAAATCAAAGTCAGATGATTAAGACTACAATTAAATAAACAACACACTACAGAAAGATCATAACAATATCCTAGTATCAGCAATTAGTTTGACATCCAAGGTCCAAGATCAACAATACTAAAAAAACTTCATGATTTCAAATTCTAAATTACCACCCTCGTATTCTCTTTCATCTGTCCAGCTCCTATATTTCACTACTTTTACCCTTCTATCATACTCCTTCAGCTCTCAAAATCAAATCACAGACAATAAATTCAATGTAATATCTTGCTCTATTCCCTGTTCTATTAAAATTCGAAAATAAACCAAAAAAGAAAAAACATAAATTCGAAACCATTGAAGTAAAAAAAAGAAATTCAACATGCAAACATCAAATAATCATTATAAGCAATTGAAACATGAATAAACATATAAATTCTAACACTTAATTCATTATTTCGAATACAAAATACCCAAACATAATTAGATAATTTAGATTTACATTAAAAAAAAAAAATAACTTACCGGAGAAATCGAAAATCGCGCAGTAGCTGTCTCATGCGGTGGTCGGTGGGCGCCTGGGCTTCGCCTGAGAGAGTGAGGAAGGCAGGAGGTGTCGGCGGTGGGCGTTGCCGCGGTGGGCTGAGACTTGCGTGAGTGCGTGACTGCGTGAGGGAGAGGGGGAGACAGCCTGTTGTTTGTTAGGGTTAGAATGAAATGAAAGAGAATTCAAGCGTCACTCAAGGCCTCAAGCTGTCAAGCATTATTTTAATTTTTTTTTTTTTTTTTTTTTTTTTTTAAAAAAAATACAATTTTTCCGGGTTTCAGGTCCGGACCTGAAAACCCCGGGTTTAGACCGGGTCCGGACCGCAACCGGGAACCTTGATTTTTAAGGACCGGGACCGGACCTGAATCAACAGGTCCGGGTCAGGTCCGGTCCGGATCAGGTCGGTTCAGGTCCGGTTTCAGGTCCGGTCCAGTTTTTGTACACCCCTACCTAAGGGATGTCTTATATGTTCCAGATTTTCATTTCAAT